ATCATCTGTTGGAGAAAACTTTATAGTATTATCAACTGGACTGGGAAGAAATGCACACATGTTGGAATATTCACTTTGCAAGCTAAATAATGTGATTAAATGTATAAAAGAACTTGAAATAATTTTTTTTAAATCTATGACCATGAAAGAAAAATGACAAACTGGATTCTATCAAAATTATACTTTTTTTTTTTTTTTTTTTTGCAGAAGATACTATCAGAGAATTAAAATACGACTCAGAGACTGGAAAAAATACTACAAAGCACATAACTAACAAAAAACCTGTACTCTGAATATATTTTTTAAAAAACTTCCAAATACAACAATAAGAAAACAAATAGTCCAGTAAGAACTCTGCAGATTGAGGCGTTCCAACAGATACATATAGATATATAGATATATAGATATATGAAGAGAGAGAGAGAGATGGCAAATATATGCATGAAAAGATGTTCAAAATCAGTAGTTATTTCAGAGGATTCTTATTTTCAGGGCAATATAATTATTTGCAAAGATTCAATAAGAATCTGTGTTCCTTGCAGAAATGCATATCAAAACCAAATTAGATATTACACACCTAACAGAATGACTTTTTAAAAATCTGGTAATACTAACTGTTGGTGAAAATGCAGATCAGTGGAACTGTAAGATGTTATTGATGATTGAAAGGAACTTGGCATCTCTTATATAGTTAAATATACACTTACCATATGACCCAACAATGCATTTCTAGGTATTTAACCCAGAGAAATAAAAACTTATGTCCATATAAAGACTCATACACTAATGTTCTCAACAGCTTTATTTGTTATAGCCAAAAACTGGAAACAACACAAATATCCTTGAACTAGTGGAGAGATAAATAAATACATCCATTCAATGAAATGCTACTCAGCAATTAAAGGAAAAAATAAAATGACTGAAACACATAATAACATGGATGAGCCTCAAATGCATTATGCTAAGTGAAAAAAGCCAGACTCCAAAGGCAACATGTGATATGATTCCACTTAGACTTTTTGAAATAGGAAAATACATAGGAATGGAGGACAGATTAGTGAGGCACTGCAGGTGGGTGGAGGAGTTGAATACAATGTGAGACACTCATTCTCTTCAGTGATGTCTCTCCTGCAGTTTGCATGAGGTGGTGGTTACATGACTGCATATATTGTCAAAACTCTTAAAACTGTACACCAAATAGTATACCTTTTACTGTATAATATTTCTTTAAATTGCTGTATATAATCTAAGAAAGAAAGGAAGAAAAAGGAAAAAGCCAGCAAGCAAGCAGGTAGGCAATCCAGCAAGCCATCTAGCCATATCAACTTCCTGGTGCAAACCTTCCACAGCTCTGAGCACCATGGTTAGTCCAGAATTCTACACAAAGAGCTGCAGCCTGCCCTTCCTATCTGAAGCCCAATTCTTGCTATGCTGATTGCTCCATAGCACTTGCCATTTCTGCAAACAAAAGCACACAGCACAATACCTAGAAGAGATGCCCAGGAATACAAGCTCCTGTCCTTCATCCTCTGGCATCGGCTGATGGTAGTTCCCCCTCCTGAAAGCTCCTTCCACTCCGTACTACATCTAACTAGCAGGTGTTCGGCCTCAGGTAACATCTCCTTATGAAGAGTTTCTCTGGACCATTTCCTCCCCATCCCTGACCCCCCCTAGTGGCAACCTCATCTACACAGTAAAGTCTTGGGGATGTTCAGACTCTGCACATTTCAAAGGACCGGCTCTTTATTAGAGGATAACTTCTACTCCCTTGGAATATACTGCCTGACAGGCATGTCTTTGCCTTGGGACATGCTGATCAGTAGTTTATGGCCTTGGGACATGCTTAGTAGTAGTCTATTGTGGGGACCTGAGCTATTTGGTATCACTCTGGCCTCTGGAGGGCTGGAGACTGAGCAATCAAGGTCAGTTTAGTGGGTGCCGCATGTCTAAATAACTAACTCTAGGAAAAATGCTGGACACTGAGGCTTAAAGAACTTCTCTGGTGATACTTCTTACATGTCCCGTTTGAATTAAACACAGTCTGTTTGATTCCATGGAAGGGGACACCTGGAAGCTTGTGGCTGATGTCTCCTGTCCTACGTGCCTTTTGCCTTTGTTGATTTTAGTCTGTGTCTTTTCACTTTATAAATTAGAACCAACAAGGACAGTAGCATTTTTGAGCTCTGTGAGTCCGTTTAGCAAATCATTGGCTGAGGGCGTCTTGGGCAGCCCTGACACATCATCTTGCTGTGTTTACAAATGGATTGTTACTGTCTGCCTCTCTCTGTGCTATTTAAGGGGAAGAAACTGGTGTGATTCACCTACCATCTCTAGTGCCTGGTACTGTGCCTGGCACTTAATAAGTATTAAATAAATGCCTGAGTGCAAGAGAAGCCTCACCCACTCATAAGCCAGAAACGTGCCCCAGGGGTCTGCAGAAGAATGTGGAGGTAGCATGGGTTCCCCATCAAGATGAAATCCTGTGACACAGATCATACAAATGCACAGGTAGTAAAAACTATCAGTCTAAGAGCCTGGGCTGAGAACTAAGCTTGTCAGATCACACATCCATGACAGGAATGTAAAAAGCCTTAGCTGAGTAACAGCAGTGTGGTAGCATGGCTGAGGGCTTGGAGGCTCTGGATGCTTGGGGGGAAAACGAGAACAGTGTGGAAGAAGGAAGGGCCATGGCAAGTCAACCCATCAACTACATCTCATTTGCAGATTCTGCCTTGAAGGGAAGTCTTCTCCACAGCGGGAGGTATGACATTTCAGTGGGAAATGTCAACACTGGATATTTAAAATTCAAGAAGTCATTTGGAAGCAAGGAGAGCCTCTCTCTCCTACCTCATTCCCAGCCTGGTGCTCCTACTTCTGAGTAAGTTGTAACCCCAGGCCCCCATGCAGGCCTATCTTATTCTGCTAAGAACTCTGAAAATGTTTAGTAACAGGCCCCACCAAGAAAATCACACGATAACTAAGCTTTGCTAACACAGTTCAATTAAACGCACATGTGCTTTGTTTTAAAGCCATAAGGGTAGTCAAAGAAATACAATATGCAACATATGCCAACTCACTGAGGGGAACCCATCCCAAATCATTGCTCTGATTTGAATCATGGAACTTTAGAGCTGATTAAGAAAGAAGTCACATGTTTGATCACAAATTTTTGTTTTGCAAACAGAAAAGCTGGTATCAAGAAAAAAGCCAACTGCTGAATAGCAACGACAAGAACAGTGAGTGTGTGCATAGCCAGAGCACTATTTTGACACGGCAACCCAGCCAGGCACCGCCTCTGCTCACTAGGCCTGGCTCCATGTCAGGGAAGCAAAAGGCCCCCATCCAGTTACACTTCCAGGCCTGACGCTCTGTTGCCTGTTCTGGGCAACCTTGGATAAGTCATCGCATGTCTCTGAGCCTGTTTTCGCATCTAAGTTAGCAGGGAGTATTTTGCTGGCATATTAAAGGTGCTCAAAAAAATGTAACTTCCCTTTCCTTTTCCTTTCAAGTATTCCCCTATGGCAGCCTTTTCCAACCAGACTTCTTCATCTGAACTACGAATTCGGAGAGAAGGATCTGAGTGCCTGTTTCTCATTCCCTCTCGAGGATGGCAAGTAGCTAGTACTACCGTGGGAGAACAGAGAGGAGTCACTGCATACTCAGGGCATCAGGGCGAATTCTGTTCAGGAATCCAGCTGAGAACGATGGATAACCTCACAGCTCCCAAGGCTCTGCGGCACACACAGCATCGTTCCACACATCTAATATTGATCACTGCTGATGCACATTCTGCCAAACAAGGCAGGTGAGGGGGTTAAGGATGGGAGAAGGGGCTGAGAGAAGAGGGGATTTAAAAGGCTTTCTTCAGTGCCTCTGTGGCTGGCTATGACCAGCACTCCCACAGCACTATAGGCTGCCTGAAACCCCTCCACCTCAGTTCTATGGGGCATGGCATTTGCTTCTGGGTCTCCCACCACTCTTTAACATGTTGCCTTAAACCCTGCCCTGCCACTGCGGGCAGCTCTGAACTACTCAGAAAACAGCCTTCTGTGCCTCAGCTCTTATCTCGTTCCCCCAACTCCTTCCCTTGCCTCAACCACACACGCACTCCAGACCTTCACACAAGTATCATTGTTATCTCTGAAATTCATCCAGGCTGCCTCTGCCCCAGGTTGGGCTGGAGAAGCCCTGGATCTCAGGGTACTAATAAACCCGGGTCTCTGCCATCAACCCCTCTCTCACTGCAAACCCTGGGACAAGGGGACAAGAGGGAGTTCAGAGGGTGGGTAATGGTGGCCATCTCTCAAGTCCTACTGGGCTGGGCTTGAGTTTGCAAGGGGGAGCAAGTGGGCCTTACAATCCAGAGCAGAAGAAAGGCCATATGGGCAAGAGCAAGGGAGGACCCTTGCACTTTGCTGAAGTTCTTGGGGTATATCTTGGTTAAACTTTCTCAAAATGGGCTCTGTCTAAGCACCCCATGATAGACTGAAGAGAAGGGGGATGTGAGGAAGTTGAAGTTCTGAACAATGAAAGAGTTCTAGTTAGAGGAGACACCCACAGCTGGATTATTCAATGTTTTTAGATTTCATGTGCTTGTTTTGGGAGAGGGCAGATGGTCACATAGTGGTCAATGCCAGGTCTGGGTGTCTTCCACTTTCCTTTCCAGACCCTCTGAAGAGCAAAGCCCACTCCAGGTGCTGCAGCCCAGCTTCTGCTCTCCTCCCCACCACCTTGTGCAATCCTGCAGAGGCATGACCTTGCTGTCTGCCGACTTCTGCTCCTCACTGGCTTTGCTCTGGGACCCTGGCACACTCAGAGTTCCACCTGACCTCTGTGTCGTGCTGCAGCTTCCCTCCAGCACAGGCAGAAGGATATGGGTGCATTATCTCCTCCACTCTGGGCACAATCGATCTGCCTTCCCTCCCAGCACCGCTGCGGAAGCTCAAGACACTTGGAGAGTATTTACAAGGACAGAAACAGAGTCCAGAGCAGCAACTAGCCTAGGGCAGGTGGCTGTCATTCACTAACCACTCTGGACTGCCTCGCTGGGCTAATTCTAGGGCCAACGTCTTTTTCTCCGGCAGTACCACTGCGAGGAAGACAGAGGAGCACTACAAGGGGAATCGGCCCCAAGAGACACCAGAACAACCCCATCTCTGGGAAACATGCTTCTGTTCTAGAGGACCAGGACAAGCCCCCTCCTCTGCATCTCAGTCCTGAGCCAGTACTAAGCACACTCACAGCCAGGGGGCGCGATACGCTCCATCCTGGGGCCAGCATGGCCTGTCCCATCTCCCCTGCTTTACTCAGGTCGAAGACCTGCCTGTTGTTCGAAACTCAATCACGTGACGTTGGTCAGGAACAGCTTGGGGAAGGGAAACAGCGCATCTGGGGGCCAAATTCTAGTCTCACCTTAAACACTGTTTCCCAGTTGACGACGCGCCCTGTTACCCGGCCCGGACAGGGTCCCAGCAGTAACAGGTGTCCCACCTCCACAAGCGGGTCAAAGAAGGGGCAGGTGGGAGGAACTCAGAATTAAACCAGGAAAAAGGAAAGGAATTAGAAGGGCGGAGCAATGGAAGGAAGGGACCAAGAGATGGAAACGGGAAATAAAAAGTGAGGGAGGAAAAGGCAGGAACGGGTAAGGAAGAGAAGGAGAGAAAGGAGATGCCAAGGGGCACAAGAGGGCAGACGGCGGGCGCGCAGGGCGCGGCGGGCGGCAGCGCCCTTACCGGCGGTGGCCGAGCGCAGGCTCTCCAGGCTCCAGGCGCGGGACAGGGCGCCGCGCATGCCCCCACTGCCGCCGCGGCCGCCGCACACCACGCCGCTGCTGTCGGAGGCGGAACCCGGGGCCAGTCCGGCG